TCAGGGTGCTTCCACAGGGGGAGCTCTGCTCAGCCACAGGCCAGGCTGGCTGCCAGCACAGCAATGGTGGTAGGAGCTTCTCCCGCCTCCTCAGCAGCGCTAAGGATGCCAGACTGCAGCTTAGGCCTGATCCCCACTGGCAAGTGGACATCCCCCAAGGGCTGCCGGGCTGCCAAAGGGATGTCTGACTGCCAGCTTGGGCCCGATCCCTCAGGGGGCGGGCTTAAGCCAGCAGGTGGACATCCTCCGGGGGGTCCCAGACTGCAAGAGGGCATAGGCCGGGCTGAGGGACCCCCCCTGAGTGCACAAATTTTTGTGCACCGGGCCTCTAGTTTATTCATAAAGAACTCACAGACCCCCAAGTTTATGAAAGACCTGGTGATCTAGGCTCTGCAAACCCGGGCTCCTCTGTTAACTTGGGCATGTGGGCAGGTCCCTCACCTTGAGCTGCAGCTTCCTGTTTCCCACGTGAGGTGCACACCCATCTCTCAGGGGAAGTGTGTCAGATACGGTCACATTGGAGAGGCTGCATGAACCATGCCATTTGCTATAGAAACAATTGTTACTCGGATGCAGTAGCTTCTGACAGATGTGTGCCCTTGGGCCAGTAAATCCCTGGCTCTCCGCACAGTTCCTCTCTCTAAAATGGAAGCCATACGAGTACCTCCCCCATGCAGAGACCTGAATGAGCGCATGAGTGTACGGTTCTGAGAGCAGGGCCTGTGGAGCGTAAAACACCAGAAGTCCCAGCTGTTACTAACATCTAACGGGGCAGACTCTGGCCCATTTTAACTAAGTTCTCTATTGGCAGTAGAATCTGACTTTTTGCCAGTGTCAGAATAGTATCTGGTCTCTGAGGCCATTTCTTCCTCCTGTCGGTCCTTCTGTTCCATTCACAGAAGTCTAGGGTTGCAAATTGACAAAACCATACTGTGAAGGACGAGAAACCAGCTGAGACTCCAACAGCAAAAAGCATGTTTAAATATCCCTACAATTCTGGGGCCCCCCAGCAAGTTGTCCGATGTCAGTGTGGCTGCTGGTCTCCCCTGTGTGCTGGCAGCTGTGCCCCCGTAAGGAGTCCTGAATCAAATACATGCCTACAAAGTAGCAAACCATCCGCATCCAAGTTTGCAGCGTTGTCTCCTACCTCTGTCTTCACAGGCCTTGAACACACTCCTTGTGCACCCGAACACCCCTCCTTCAGGGAAGAAACTACCACCTCCTCAGGCCCACTGCATGCTGCCCCTGCACCAGAACGTCCGTTACTTGGGTGATCCTCACTGCAGCCCTAGAGTGAGCACTGTTCTCCCCCCAATTAACAAGCAAGGACACCGGCCCAAAGACAGGGCCACCACGCTGCCCAGTTCCAGTCGGAACCAGTTATAAAATGTCTGTGGCTTGCACACTCACATGCCACGTGCCCCTGGAGCGGCCCAGCGGGCAACCCCATCTCAGCTACTAAATGGGTTTAGGAGTCAAACCTGAGCCAGTGACTCAGACTGGCTCACTCCTCTACCTCACATTTCCTTTCTTAGGGAGAAAAGGTTTCAGTCGGCTTACGTTCAAGAGGACCCAACAGCCCATGTGATTTCACCCTCAACCACCAGCCTGCGAGGAAGGTCCTGTCTCAGGTTTTACAGTGGCAGGTAGTGGGCGTGAGTGGCTTCATCAGGAGAGAATGCAAAGCAATCAGTCTGCTCTTTTATTTAAATGAAAACAGCTTTTTCTAAAAATTACATGTGCTCATTGTGGAAAAAATTTGAAGTAAAACAGAAAAGCACAGGATAACCTGAAGTCTCACCATCACAGGCAACCGTGCTAAGCACTGCGATGGACATCCATCCATCTCTCCCACCACCACCACCCCCACCACACACACACAAAATCAGTTTTACTTAAAAGAATACACTGCATGTGTTTCTCTGTAACCTTTACTTGACAAAATAACGGCAACATCTCACGGCAGAGCACATGGCTCTACTTCGTCCTTTTTAATAACTACCCACCGTTCCACTGTCTGCAGCTGCCACAGCTTGCTTAAGCAGGTCTTTCATATCTTATATACTTTCATATTCTTATTTTCACAACAGCTAGAAGGATTAAGCATGAGGGCTGCACACACTACTGACTCATAAGATTTGCTTTAAATTTTTGTCTACAAACAGTCATGCAGCCACGGCAGGCTTCCTCAGTGTCCCTTCCTTTACTTCTACCGCCAAGTCTTTCAGTCCTGCGTTCGTAACTCGCCGTCCAGGAGGTGGGGGAGGAGAAACCTGTCTGGCAGCTTGGCCTTTTCCATTAAGGCAGCAGCACGTTTGATCGTGAACAAGTCCCATCAAACAAAATGTCAAGCTGCCGGTTCACTGAAAGGTACTGGAGCGTAAGATGCTTTTATTGAGGTTAGAGGTGACGGTACCTTACGCTTTCTCCCCTGATAGACGTTACTGCTTCAAGACAGATTCCCTTGCCAGCTAAAGCCTGCAGAGAAGGTTGTCTGCTTGCACAGGGCTCATTGTCCGGAAGATTAGCAAATGTGAGCGCCAGGAAGGTGACAGTAGCTACTGTCCCAACCAGGACATGGTGGGGAGGGGCGCGGGGAGGGTTCAGCATTTGGACCCCTCAAGTAAGAGCAGGCCTGGTGGCCAGCTGCCTGGGTTTGAGGCTTCTGCCTCTGTCTGGCTTTGCAAGAACTAGGGTCTTGGACCACTGTGTTTGGGGTGTTGGGGCAGCAGGCAAAGGATCATTTACATCTACCTGAAGAAAAGGGAAGGGAGGAAACGGGGAAAGGGAAAGAAAGGGAATAGTATCTGTTGAGCAGTTAGGCCTAGTCTTGACCTCACAACTGTTCTCTGAGGCAGGAATTACAGCCTCCATTTTACAAATGAGAAGCCAGGGTTCAAAACAGGTAAGTAAATTAACCAAGACCACAGCTAGTGAGTGAAGAGCTGAGTATAAAGGCAACACGTTGACGTTTGAAAACTCACAAAGCTTCAAGGATTCTAATACCTATGGGCAATGGTGGCTCTAGAATTTCTAAAGGAACGGGTTTGGGGCTAGCAATTGAATTTGGAAAAGGCATGGGGGTTTTTGAAGCTACATTTGCCTAGCACCGTGGTCGGCAAACTGCGGCTCTTTGGCCCCTTGAGTGTGGCTCTTCCTAAGCCTGAGGAGTACCCTAATTAAGTTAATAACAATGTACCTACCTATATAGTTTAAGTTTAAAAAATTTGGCTCTCAAAAGAAATTTCAATCATTGTACTGTTGATGTTTGGCTCTGTTGACTAACGAGTTTGCCGACCACTGGCCTAGCGGATACTGTCTGCCCTCCACCCCACCTTCCTTATGCCACTTCTTGGCACAACTTGAACAACTACTTGATGAAAAAATACAGATAAGCAATACATCCAAATAAAGAACTTGAGAATAGGGACAATGTGGAAAGAAAAACCAGCAATAAGTAATCAACCTACTTAGAGAACTGAGACTAATGTACTGTCGTAGAAAAGAAGGAACGCGAGGTTAAAATAAGACTGAATACTCCTCTAGTTTTGCTCACACAAGACTAAAGGGGATTTTAAAAGAAACGAACACCACAAATCTCCAAGAACAGGAAGAACAAAAGAAAAGACAAAAGGGATAAGATCTGGAAGCTGTACGGCAGGTGGACAGTAGTAACTGCAGTGGAGAAGGTTGGAGCCAATACAATTTATACCAGTGGTTGCCAACCTTTTGACCTCACGGACCACCAGTTGGCGACCGCTGATTTATACCACGGAAACTTCAAAGCCCCTGGAACTGACACCATCACACGTTGGAGAGCAAGGGTAGCCGCCAAAACAAGGAAGACTGATGGCAGTTGTTTGACAGCAATTAGGTCCCCATACCATTTCCTCCACGGAGCAGGCGCTCTGTTCCACCCCAGCAATAGTCTGGAGTTTACTCTGAAGAGAGTCACCCAGACCTTGGGATGAGAGAACTCTAGACAAAGTTGAAGGTCAAGGTAATAAAACAGGATGATGAAGTGAGCCCATGCATACTAGTCCTGACACTTGAACAAAATGACATTAAGGGCCACTGATGGAAGTAAGTTTAAATGACACCTAGGATTTTGACAGGGGGACGTGGGCAGCGAGAGACTCTGTAAAAGAAAGGCTCTTGAGGAGAATCTAATCCTCGCTAGAGAAAAGACCCCAAAATACTGTCCTATAGAAGCTTCTCAAGAAACAACCCGATGACCACTTCACAGCATCAGTAAACTCCTTGGTTAGG